CTGTATCGCCCCCTTCTTTACTTTCCTTCTGTTTTTTTTGCTCTCTCTCTCTCTCTCTCTCCAGAAAATAGCAAGGGTAAGGGCGACTTGTTCATGCGTTCTGACAAGAAAAGTGAAATTCCTGAGAATCTTCTCACTCTATTGTCGGGAGTGCCTGAGCGTTTTTTCCCCTGTGCGCACTGTCCGTGCTGTGGGAGCCCCTCTGCGACGGCCCGGCTGGGGAGGAACAGATGGCAGGCTGAGGGTGGATTGTGTCTCTGTTTTCCAGGGTCGCTGAGCAGCAACATTAGAACACGGCGGCTAGACAATAGCTAGGCACGACAACACCCCCCTCCCCCCCCCCTCCCAAACCCCGTCGCCTCCCTCACCAAAGATCTCCTTCAGAGTCATTATCGATGACTTTCGACGTGTCCCGAGCTAAACATGCCCAAACTACCCTTTCATATCGTCACTAACGCCTGTTTTGTAAACACGCGCACAAAGCAATCGGGGTTGTCACCAAAGTAACGTGATGACTCTTTTTCCTGCGTCTCCCACTGATAATCACACACTTGGGCAGCGGCAGTGAACCAAACTGTCGCCTGGGTTGCTACGGGTGACTGGAGAGCTGACTTTTGGGCTCCGAGGCAAACGAGCACATGACAGATTAGTGTGTGGGCCTCCTCCAGGCTCCCACCTCTGTGACCCTGAGGAGCCCCCTCTTTGCCCCCCTCCTCAGCCGCGCTCCTATACCCCTAACGCTCAGCAAACTCTCCCTCCCTCCTCAGGCTTTGTCTCCACCCTCTCAACAAGCTAAGAAGGTGAAAAACAAACACCACTGAAACCTAGTCGGCCCTTTATAATATTTATCACTTTCATTTTTCAAAGGAATGTACGTGGGCCATGTACAAGCTCTTTTTTCTTTTTTCAAGACAAATATTCGGCCTTTGAATACCGAAAAGAGGGCACCGGTAACTAAACTGCAGTCGGCAGTTCGGTGTAAAAAAGGACTCGGGTATTCCAAACGGTTTGCAGATGTGTGTCTCCACCAGTTAAATGCTAGTTGTACTGGAACAACACACAGGGATTAGAAGCACGAGAGGAGCTCAAACAAAACTGGGGATCCTACTGAGCGGACTGTTTAGTCTACTCCGACAACATGCCCTCTCTTTTTCAGGGATGGACTTGTGCACTTGTTTATCGTACGGGACAAACATCCGTTGCCAGGGTTTGGCCTTGCCCGCGCTCGTGTCTTGGGAATGACCCTAGCTGGCTCTTTTATGTGCATCTATAAAGGGCGGCCGAGAGAGAGCGGCTAGGAGGGCTCGACCCGACGATGACACCCTGTCGTCATGGAGACTAATGCTATGTTGGGTCCGTGATTGGAGGGTGGAGCGGGGGGGGGGGGGGGACAGCCACTGTCGCTAGTGTCTAATGATGTTTGCAGCACAATGCACTCATCTCCTCACAAAGTGTGATGTGTCCTCGCTGTGGCGGACGCCTGTATAAACATGGCATCCTTTGAGCTGCTGTGAGTCTTCATCCAGGTGTATATATACATTCCCTTATTGTAACTGTAATAATACATAAAAGATCAACGGATATATTTCTAAATACCATCTAATCATAAACATTTCTCATCTGAATATAGTTTTACTGCTCACAGTCCAAGGATTTCCCAAATGACCAAAGGATATATCACTTCCTCTCAAGGAGCCCAAGGGACCAATACACCTGGCTTAGCAGCTTAACAGAATTTCCCCAAACACCCGGGCCAAAGGGTTGCCTGGGACAAAACCTGAGACGCTTGATGCATGAGAGGGCTACCTTCTTTTCTCATCTGACTGACCACTCACCCCCCTCTCTCTCCTTTGTAGCTAACACATACACAAGTGTGAAAGCCCTCAATTGGCCTGGTTTGCTCCCAAGATGCCCTATTTATTTTCATAGGTGTTTGAGGGTTTACACTAGTCGAAAAGACAAGGCCAGAGACCCAGAGTGGTATCTTTGTATCTGAGTGCTTCCTGTTTTCATTGCATGGCCGACCCTTGTCTTTACAGGGGGTGAGCAAGGGCCAGCAGGGGGCTAGCAGGGGGTGAGAGGGAAGGAAGGCCAGGGCCGCCAAGGGGCTAATTGTGGATTTCAGAGTTTGCTTTGCCCCCCGAAAAGGGCATCACCTTGTGCAAGGATACGGAAAAACATCCCTGCCTTTCTATTGCTCGCCACACACTTCTCTTATTCTACCTTTCATTCCCTTTCTCTACCTACACTCTCCTGATCTTTGGGGTCCATAATTCTGAAGCGTATCAGAATTGTTACCCCTAACAGCGAAGTTTACTAAGCTAACAACAGCTGATCCGTCCTGCAATTACATGTGGGATGTTTTAAGGTTACGGGCCCACGCGCTCCTTAGTGCATGTGCACGCGGGATCAGCATTCTCCTGAAAGTAATTGCGGAATCTTTACATTATTTTGTGAGCTCTCAAAAGCACTAAACACTGTCGTTTCCCCTCAGCTGGAATGTTGGCTCGGTGGGGTTGATGGTTGCTTTCTATGAGTGACTGTTATGAAGAAGACCATCTTGTGATTTCTCCCAAGAGAGTGTGAGGTCAGAGTGAAGCAAGGGAGGGCGGGGGGGGGAGAGGGGGAGAGGGCAATTTTGTTATACTGAATCCAAAAGCCAACAGTTGTTACTATTGGCCTGTGTTGTTTTTCTGTGTGTGGAGGGGGGGGTCTGTCCTTTTGAGCTTTTCAGAAGATGTGACAATAGCTGGATGTTGAGAACATATGTAGAGGGACCCCTGTGGCTCATAGAAGAGGAGCTCCATGCTGGCCCCACAGTTTGAGGAAAATACAAGGCCGCTCCTTTCACTCCTCACCCCTCAGTTAATGAATGCATGAATGGCAGAATGCCGCTATAGGCCATTCAGGGGCCAAAGTCCCCAAGAATTCACCCTTGCACAAACGCATCCAGCAATGGCTAATACATTTGCTTAACAAATTAAAAGAAAGGAGAATGGCTAATGTGTGTGTGTGTGTGTGTGTGTGTTTGAGTGAGTGGGAGAGAGAGTTTATGGGTGGGAGAATTGGATGGTGAGAGGGGGATAATTCAATTAGTCCTCAGAAGAGAAATGAAGGTAGGTTAAAAGGGAGGGATTATTATTTGTACAAGACTGGCCTAGGCTTTACACAAAAGAAACAAATAAAGATTGGAGAGAACATCTACAAGCAGGGGATGTGATAAAGGAGAGAGGGGCAGAGAAAAAGAGGGCCCTGAAAGCTCTGCCTGAATTAACCAGCTCTTTGACAAATGCCCCCCCACCCTTTTTTTCCCCCTCTCCCCTCTTTAAATTCAATATTAAAACAATTCTAAAGAATTGGCAACTACCAAAAGCTCCATACGCGTCATTCAGTCTCTCTCTCGGCATCTTTTGCAGTCGCGGCCGCTGAAACTGTGTGAAGCGAGGTGACGAATCAAGAGAAAAGCTTTTGTCTTAACTCAAATAACGTGTGTCTGTAAAATACTAAACTTTTAAAATCCATGCATGGCAACATGGGCATATTATACATACCTGAACACAAAACCCTTGAGCTTTATTCTTTGACCCCGTCATACACAAATATAGCATTCTACTCGTCAAGAAGTTGACCCCCCCCCCGCCTCTCCCGCCCTCTGCCTCTGAATGAAGCCCGGTCTGCGTGGTTTGGGGAGAGGTCTCTGGTCAGGGAGCATTGGAGCTGTGAACAGCTGTGAAGTCATTTTGATAATGATGAGAATAATAAGCATGCAGACTGGCGTGGTGGAGCCGCTAAGGCCTGCGAGGCTCAGGGCTTTGCTGTTGCAGCTTCACTGCTCCTGAATAGATAAAAGTGATTAAAGCACTCCTGATTATCCCTGACCAATATGTAATGGATTTACAGCCCTTTCAATTAGGCCGTATTTGCTGGCCACACATTACTTGGGATTTTGGTTAGGTAATCAGGGTACTGGGGCTTTGAAAAGGGGGGGGACTGGTGAGGCGGGCAGGGGGGGGTAGAGGGAGACAGGGGCCACCTGACCCGCTTAAATATGTGGATGATCCATAGGGGTGAAGCACTAAACTTAGGCCACTACTTTCTCACATTCTTCTCTTACTCCCCTCCCTCCCTCCCCCAACATGGTCCCTCCATCTCTTGGACGAGGAGCCACGTGCTCCGGGAGCAGCTCATGTGCCGCTGCGTGGCCGCCTCCTCCTGAAATCTGACCTTTGTTGCAAAATCAATACAACCCGATGTTCTGATAATGTCCTGACATTAGCGAGGGGAGGGGGAATTGTGGTGCGTCCCCTTGTGCATGACACACACCGACAGACACATAGGGGAAAACCGCCAGGCAAAGAGTGTTCGTTTTACCACGTAGGTTTGAAGTAATCCAAGCAGCGTCATTGTGCTGAGGGAAGTGAATGAGCCAGTTCGCAACAGTGCAGTGAAAAAAAACAATGTCCTCTCATCTTGAATAGAAATATTTCAACGTTAACCATCTCAACCTCAAGAATAAACTCTCACAAAATCAGTTGTCAAATTTGAGATTAAGTAGTCACTCGGTGCAATAATATAGATGTATTCTTAAGGGTATTTGTAATCGATCTCTACACCTACACAAGAGTTAAATGATGACACAAATATATGTACTCGATCAGATGCTTGGATATCTCGCCGCAGGTAGACACCTTCGCACTCACAACCGTGCTCCACTAATTATCGTTCTTTCTCTTAATCTGTGCCAAAACAGATTGTTCATTAGGCCAAACAAACAGTGCATCTCATTTTGGAGTAAATATCACGGATTGTTGTGCCGAGCAGAGTAAACGGTCGAAACTGATTAAATTGACCTGCTGGTCACTGTGTCCCTCTGACAGGTGAGCATCACGGCGCAGCTGTCACTCACCCCTTTGCGACAGGTGTGTGTGTTTGGCGTCTGTTTTTCTCTCTGGGTTTGTTTTCATACACGTTTATCTCCTGAGGGTAAAACCGGTGCTTACCGTGAGATGCTGGAACAGCCACGCCCTCATGATGTTAGTGGCCACCTTGGGGAAAATGCCACGCTTTTTCTGCCTCTTCTTGTCCTTGTCGGGATCATCGTCGTCCCCCGTGCCGGGCGATGCAACGCTGTTGTCTAACCCGTCTCCTGGACGGAAAGAAAAACCCAGGGGTTAAATGACGTCCTAGACAACAACGGCGACTCCGAATAGAATACAGTGCGCTCTAAAGATTCTCTGAGCTGAAACAGACACACACAAGAAGTCCAAGCTGAGTTTAAGGCTTGTGAAAAATGGATAAATGGACAAATACCAGAGATACAAAGGAATTCAAAAGCATGGCAGTGAGGCCCGGAGAATCCCTGCAGCAAAGCCATGTTGTGTAGTGAAGATATGGAGGTAGGGGGGTTTAAGTGGCCTTAGAGGAAGGTCTGTACAGCGAGTGAGGGTTTTACGCAGAGGCCTAGCAGAATTGTTCTACACTCCAGAGCACGAGAGAGGGGAATAGGGGATAATAACTGTAATATTATGGTTGGATGCCGAACACGAGGTTACTCATTCCAGTTCCATGGGAGGAAAAAAGAAAAGAAGAAAGAAAATAGGACAAGGAGCCTTCGAGTACAGTAGAGGCTTGGACTCATGTCATTAATTCAATTAAATTTGCATGCTTGACATAATGTAGAGCATTTTTCCTTCCTCCTTTGAAGAGAACCAAAGGGGACAGGGAGGAGTTGTATGGGCACATACAGTACATTCGTAAATCACGTTGCGTGCACGGACACACACACACTCACACATACAAACAAAAACTCGGAGCACGCGATAATCATCCAGTTGAGACGCATGAGTATTAAAGTAGGGATGTGATTTGGGGTGGTTCATTGTTGCACTTCGATGCACATAATGGACTCGTCTTCCTCCCCCCACCCCACGCCACCGCAAGCCCCGACTCCCTCAGTCCTCCGCGCCCACTCCCTTCCCTTGCAGCCACCCCTCCCCATTCCGCCACAAGATTAGCATGACAGGCCAGCGGCGGCTTCGTCTGCATTAATGTCCGTCAGCGTTTGATTTCAAGAGGAAAACATGCACACAACCCAGGCACGATTTCAAGTTTCCATCTTCTGTCCCTGTGCCTTTTTCTTGTTCCTCTTCCCCCGGCATTAATTGTGCATTAGCAAAAGTGATTTACTTTTAACAGTCATAGTTATTTTTTCTTGCCCCCGGGCACAAATGCCTTGAAAGCCTTCCTTGAGGGCATCTAAATTATGTATCTGAAAAACTCCTCCACTAAGGCAGAGAAGGACCCTGACATTCTCAAAATTCAAACTCGCATGTCTTCCTGTTTTTGGGGAGGCATCAATCACCAGCACCTATACAAGCCTTAATCTCACATAAATATTTGAACTAATAACATTAAAAAGGGGGGAAAGAAAAAGGATCCGACGGTGTAATCAAATGCAAAATAAATGAAGACTACAAGGACAGCAGGGGCCCTCAATTCTAACTACTTTCCTTACTTTCCTTACTCCCCCTCCTCGTTTTTCCCTCTCTTTTTTCTTCCCTCTTTCTTTTCTTTCAGTGCACGGTGTTTTCCTTCCACATCATTAGCGCGGAGCCACACGAAAGAGGAAAACAGAGAAGTGCCGACTTTGCGTTCCCTGTGTGAAGTTAAAGAAGCAACGGCCCCTCAGAAGGACATATGGGAATGGGGACGCAGACTGGGGGGTGTCGTAATTGTAGAACGGGCATTCATTAGCGGCAAATGCCGTAAATCCCGGGCTAAGTACGAATCCTTGTTCAGGAAAGCCTAAAACAATAAACGTTGCTCGGCCCATAGCCCTACCCTGACTGTGAGGGGCTTCCTGAGAAACGCCAGCCAGACGGAAGTCAAGTCTGACTCCCCCAGTTTGCTTCCAAACTTCAACAACAACAATTAGTGGGCTGTGAATTTTTAACCACCCCCTTGTTTCTGTGCTTTTGAGCTTCACTGAATAATGTTGATACACAGTTTAGTTGTTTGTTTGTGTGCCGCTAGGTTTTGTGTTGATTTTTTTTCGAGCCGGTCTGCAAATCCCTCTCCCGCTGTGAGCAGTCGGGCTCATCCAGTGGAACCACACAGTGGCCAAAAGGCTGGCAGATTAATTTTATTGACGTTTCCATTTTCACTGCAATGCGATAGCCTCCCCCCTGGCCAGGGCCGGTGCGACCCGTGCGTATTTACAGACTGACCTGTCACTTCATTACCCAGCATGCTCGCTGCCTCCTGCCCTAGCCCGCAAGGGTGAAACCAGACTCCAAGGCTTTCAGCTTCCCTCTGTCTTTCTCCCACATGCACATGGCTACTGTCATGAGCGCACTGACCAGTGCAAGCACAGATTTTGTGTTCAGTATTTATACCGGCTTTGAAGTTATACGCGCAGAAACGTGTGATTTTTAAATAGACCACATAGGAAAATCAAGTGTGGACAGCAGGTGAAAAGAAAGAAACAAAGGGAGAAAGAAGAGGAACAAGAAGAAGCAAGGAGGAGGTGTGGGGGGGGGGGGAGAAGAAGTAGAAAAAGAATAAAGAAGACCCAACTTTGCCCAACCTCATTACATCTAAAAGGAGAGCTGGTGCTTTGCATCCACTCCACCTCTTTCTCTATGAGCAAGAGAAAAGAACGCCGCAAGGCCAATTGTCCCAAACGCTAATGGGCTTCGGACTGTTTCCCTGGGCCAACTCTGCCATTCTAAACTGGTGTGGGATGTGCACTCTGAGAAAGAAAAAAAAATAGGGGAAGCAAAAAAAAAAAAAAAAAAAAGTGCAGGGCCGAGCAGGGGGAAGCGTCCCATCATCTGGCCATGTGACACAGATGGGGGTTGGCTATTAGGAGGCAGCCGAAAGGCCTAAGGGAGGCGAGGTGCTGGAGTTTAGCCCCAGGCACTTTTGGAAAAGCAGCGCCCTTGGAGATGGAAAAAAAGACAGCCCCCCCCCCTCCCTTCTTCCCCGCCCACCCCCCTCCAGCCCAGTCTCTGTCTGTCTTCCCTTTCCTCCTCTCTCTTTCTCCCTCACCCACTCTATCAATATCTTGGGCTAAAGTGCTTGCAGTGAAAGTTTGCGCCTATTTTCATGCGCACAGAAACCGAGAAGGTGTAATCAGACGAGGAAGCTGGAAGACAATGACCAGGCGCAATGAGGGCGAGAGAAGCGAAAGAAAACACCCGCAAACAAACACAAAGTCCAAGAGCACGTTTTGCTAACACACATTTCCCTCTCCAAACACCAGTGGGTGGTTATTAAAAATGCATCCAGATATCTCTCCCTGAGAGTAAATTGGTCTCAGGGCTGAGCTCATTAAGGGGTTGGGAAAGGACTGTAAACACGCCGAAACTCTGCGTATCTAATGTAAAGGTTTGCTTCAGGATTTCATGCACAAAGACCTGGTTTAGAGTCCTACAGTGTCTGCTGAGAGACAGGGGGATTTCACGGGGGTCCTAATGACTCCAGAGATCATGCTTCATATCAAGGTAACCTGCCCTTAAGGGAGCCACTGAGGACTAGTGAGCACCGCAATCATTGTGGAAAAGTCCCAAATATCAGTGTTGTCTGTACGCCCTCCCTTTGCTGCACAACCATTCCAATATTCCACGCATGAATGAATAATGACTTTTCAATAGCTGAAATACATTCAAACATGGTTAGTTTTAAATATGACTCCAGACTTATTGGTCCCTGTACTGTTGATAGGGCGATGCTGAAAAGCCTTCAGACGAGATTTAGATGTTGGGTTGAGTTATTCCAAAGGCTGCGCAGTGATTTTGCACTGAGAGGCCCCGGCGTTTGTTTCAGGGTAATGAAGCAAAGGGTGCAGAGGCAGTGGCTTATGGAAGCTGTGGTTAAAGTGACTAATTACAACAGACCCCCCACAACCCCTGTCAGCCCAGACTAGTCAGGCATGTTCACCCAAGCTCACTCAAACGAGGAGAAGAGAGAAACTCCTGAGTCAGAAGGAAAGAGAAGTAGAACAGCAGCTAAGAGGCTTGTTGTAGCAGGAGCTCCTTTGGCCCACCTTAGCACACCATGGTGACCCTCCCGGCCTCCCTCCAACACCCTCCTATTAAACCACCTTTAGCCCTGCAGGCTCGGCCGCGGAGAATGAAGAGAAAAGAAGACGGGGATTTAGAGCCTCCGTTTTCCCTCTCTTTTTTTTTTCTCCGCAACTTTTCAGCCAGCATAAGCGGCGTTTAGCACATTCAGTCCCCCAAATGGCAGCGAATGAGGGTAGCAGTGGGGGCTCCTCTTTTGTCCGTCTGGTTACCCCCTTTTATTTACTATGGATTTACGAAGGGGTCTTTGCCGGCTCTGGGACCACATGCTCTCGACGCACACACACACACACACACACACACACAATCTCGCTCACATACACACATACACAAACACGGAGAGGCTCTATTCACACCGGTGGAATGGCCGGCCCTCTGTTGCTCTGCGCCCGACTGGGGATTACAGCTCTTCTGCATATAGCCGCATGCTAGCAATATGCTTTGCACTTCTTAATATACAACACAGACAAAGGCTAACGAGTAGAATGTAATCCCTTCAAAAGATTTAAAAAAAAAACACACACACTCCAGTGTCCGATTTCTAACAGCAAGCAGCCCATCGTGCGCGTTTGTGTGTCCTTGTGTGACCGCGCGTCATATGGTTTACTGCGCTCATTCAGATCCATACAGTAGATGAGGGCTCGAGACGGAACTGTTTTAGCGCGGCAGCACCGCTGCAGCCAGTGTTTTACGCTGATTATTTCCTGATCTGTGCTTAAACAAGCAGCAGCCCCCTTGCACTGGACCATAAAACAACAGCTTAGTAAACAGCAAGCATGCTGACAAATTGGTAGCGCTCAGGCCGGAGTCATTAACAGCCCTAAAACCTGTCAGAGCAATTACAACAAACTCTCTCCTTCAGCGAGTCTCCGTGCCAAACTCAGATGTCACAACCCCCCCCCTCTCTTACCACCAGAACACCGGCTAAAGGTGAAGGAGAGAGGACTGCCACATTTTCATCTGTCCTCCAACACCCGGCAGCAACGAGGACAAACCTCCGCCTCAAACACAGCTGTATCTGCATCCCGGGTGTCACGACTGAGTGGTTCCTTTTGCATGAGAA